TCATTCTCATTCTCATTTTTTTTTTATCTTTATTAATTTAAACCACACATTTTATCAATAAAATAATATTCCACATAAACCCAAAAATTCTCCTTACTTTTTAATCACACATTCTTCCATTAATCACTATTCCAAATCAAATTCTTGCATAAAATGGGTGTCAAACAAGGGCTTATTTTTATGCATGTATAATTTTTCTTTTAAAAAATGTTGGTTGACGAAACTTTCACTTGGCGTTTTTCACATTTTACTTTAAAAATATAATTTATATTTTTACATTTTTTTTCTTATATTACAGTGTTGCTAGTGCAAATTATGCTATATATGATAATTGTTTCAGGGTTATGATTTTGCACATGCAATGTGCTCTGCAAATTTTTGACTATAATATGCATAGATATGTTTGCATGTGTCTATGTATGTATGTATGTATTCACATGTGCTAGCGCACAAGTTTTTCAAGATTTAACTATGTCTTTAATATATAATGTAAATATCTTAAGCTAATTGAACAGGGCAATGGCTCTCAAGGATCAGGCAGGGCTCGGAGAGATGCTGCCTCTCGTGCTATGCAAGGATGGCATGCCCAACGTCTTTTTGGTTCTGGTGATGTTGATGAGCCAATTCTAAAGGTCTGTGGAAATAAATATCTTTATGCTCTTATTGGGAGTTATATTTATGTCAACACAATGAGTGTTTCATTTATAATTTACATATTTCTTTTGTAAATTATATTTTAATAGGACAAGAATCTCAGCACTATGGCAAAGCGTGATAAAAATCTCAAAAGCATTGGTAAGCTTGCTTCAGTTCAAAATTTTCTAATGTATTAGCTCCTCTTCAGTAAAACTTATTTAACTATAGAATACGGGATCATACGAGTTGTTTCATTCAGAATATAAGATACATGTATATGGTCTGTCAGTTACCCATTATAAGTTTCTTTCATTGTCTTGGTAAATGATAAAATAGACAAATGACGTCTAGAATCTGGTATGTGGATTTAGGCCCTCTTAAACAGAAGAGACCGCATGAAGTGGAGCTTCCAGTGAAAGCAGCACGAACTGAAACATCTAAGCAGTTAAGTCGTGCTATATCTTGATTAATGATCTTCATTTTGGCTAGCTTGTTGGAATTAATTTGAATTATATCATGATATTATGCACAATTGAAGGCTGAGAACTTTCCTCTTCACCCCATCATTGTAGATGTGGAGTTCCATCTCCTTCACCTCCACTTTTGTCATGTACAAATGCTATCGTTGAAGATAGATTGTTCGGATTTTGTGCTTGTATTCTGCATTATGTAACCTCGCAATTATAACGAAGACGGCTGTAGCACTGCATACTACCAATCTTATGATTTTATAGCTAGTTGGTTTGAGTGTGATTATTCACATTCTAAGCTCTTATAGTTTCTAAGCTCACATGGCAAGTGCACTTCCTTGTCTCAATACAAAAGTATATTTTTTTCGAGTCTCTAAGATGTAACTAAATTGTGTCAATATTTATGAATTCATTTGAGCAATAATTTTTGTGTTAGGTAGAAACTGTGGCTTTTTACACACCTTGTCCAAAGGAGATTTATCAAGCCTTGGATTTGTTGGAAGCAGTGTGAGTGTAAGTCTTTGAAATGCTAGGGTGGTTAGAGGTTTACTGGAGAGATGCTTGGGACACAAATGGGTGTTAGAGTTCATTAGTGAGATGAGAGATTCGGGCTTTTAACATTTGGGAATTAATTAAGAAATATGTATATTTCATCCTGTACAGATTCCACTCAGAATGTGACTCTCCTTGTCAATGTAGGCATGTTTCCACTGAACCGCCTAAATCTCATGTGCCTTCATTGTGATTTTTCATGTTGATTAACTTCATACTTTCCATACCATTGCTGGTTTCTTGCGTTCACGCTTGAACATTGGATCTTGAGTTTCTAGTTGCTTTTCTGTGTCACTGAAGTGGTATAGCCTACATGGAACTCTGCTTTGGTAGTACACCAATCTGCCAGTTGGTTGACAGGGCTAGCAATTCATAGATTGTGGAAGGACATCCTGGCTTGAAAATATTTGTCAAAAACGTAGCGTAAGGATGTGAAAACTTAAAAGCTGGAGAATGCTAGTAGCAGTTATTGAGGAGAGAAAGTTCATCAACTCTTCTAGCGGGTATATTATAGCTGAGAATTTGGCAACAGCCAGCTAAAGTTGAAGGTTCTGGGAATGCATGCAAGACCTGCATTGCGAAAGTTGTGTCATGACTCATGAGTAGTGAGTTGTGATGTTGGGTGGAATTAGTATCGTTGGGAAATGAGATCAAACCTTAGTGGTGGTACTTCTACACTAGTACATCATGTAGCAGACCTCAGTCTCTGCCTGTATGGATATTTGCTCTAGGGGTAGCCTTGTGCATTCTGGTTGTTTACTCCCTAGAAGTTCATCAGTTGTTAGCTTAATAGGTGACACAGTAGTCATGGGCATTGTAACACCCCAAATTTTATTGATTTAAATTTTGAGGTGTTACCGATATCATTTCATAATCATACATAAAGCGGAAATATTTAACTGAAGATTTAAACTTAAATAAATTTAAGTATTCATAATATCCAATTAATTCTATCCAAAACATTAAATCAGAAAATTTAAGCGTTAAATAGAAATATAAGAAATACTAATCTATAAACATAATAAAATTTTT